GGTCAAAATGGCTAAACGACGGAAAACGGTAGATATGTCTTTAGTACGATATTGGCCATAATGTAATGTGGAGTGCGCGCATTTTTGCTAAAAAAAAAAAAAAAAAACATAAAAAAGGAAGAAAAAACAACAAAATTCGAGCGTGTGTTGCAAAACGAAAGTGTTTCGTAAAAGCAGAAAAATAAAATACAAACGATAGCATAAACGATAAAGAAGGAACTGGAGAAACTACGCCAGTTATTGAAGCTTACGTCTGCAGAACGAGCGTTTTGAAATTTTGCACTGATTTTTTTTTCGAATATAAATATATTTTGTTGGAATTTAATGCTTTCATGCAAAATAAGTAGACAACGAAAATGTTAGGCACCTTCAGTTCAGTGGCACCATATTTGAAATTCAATCCCAAATATGTGATCACCGACAATTTTGTATTCAAATTGCATTATCGTTGGTCATTCATTATCCTGCTGGTGGCCACCATATTGGTTAGTTCGCGCCAATATTTTGGTGAACATATAAAATGCATATCGGATACAATACCAGCGCATGTGATAAATACCTATTGCTTCTTTACGCCCACCTTTACGCTGGTGAGTGTTGAGGCACGCTTGTGGGCAGTTTGTACCAAAATGTGTAGTAATATTTTGCTACCAATTTAATTAGGTGCGTCATCTGAATAATAGCGCTTTGGATAAAGGTATCATCTTTCAGCCTGGCATTGGGCCAGAGCAGTCACAAAATGAGGAGATAAAACGCCATGCCTACTATCAATGGGTCCCTTTCGTACTCTTCGCTCAGGCAATACTCTTCTATATACCACACATTTTGTGGAAATCATTTGAAGGTGAGCAATCTTTCGGGTGTTATTTTGTTTGATGCAACTCACTTTAACACTCGACCGATACCAAAGCGTATTGAAAATACACAAGAGCTATTCATTCCAATAAAACTATATATTCGATTTCTTATCGTAAATACTTATGTACATATGCACTTTCTTCTGTATTTTTTTGTTTTTAGGCGGTCGCATTAAGGCACTCGTTTTCGGTTTGCGTATGGTCGGTCTCACGCAATATATAAAGAATC